CTGGTTCAGCTGGTGGGTAGGGAGTGACTAATTTCCATTTCCCCACGAGGAGAAGGGAGGAAAGGAACATTTCCTTTCTCTTAAGCTAGAAATCTGGCCCTGGGAGCTGTTTGGTGGATCTATTGTGTGAGGCAAATCTCCCGTGGACTGGGAGCTGATGTGTCACCCTGGCAGCGGCGCTTGTTTGCACTCTGAATTCCAGTGGCACCGTGTCAGTGGCACATCCTGTTTCCCACTGCATGAGGCTGCTGGAATTTGGGACCGAGGGTAAAAACTAATTGTACGTGGGGAAAATCTGCCTAAAGATTCCCTGAGCTCCTGCGCTGGGAGTGGAAAGCAAGGAAAGGGGGGAAAAAGCAGGAGTCGGGCTTGAAGCAGCCCAAAGTCTGAAGGATTCACTGATGGTGGAGTCAGGATAGAAAACTCCTGTTTAAAGGGCCCCTCTGGAGGATTTCCATAATCCCCAGCTGCAAGGTCTGCACAGCAGCTCAGCTGCAGCTCCCTGGCACAGGAGGGAGGATGCTCCCTGCTCTGGAGGATGCTTTGCCCCTCTGCTTTCTCTGTGTGCTAAAACCACTCCTGATTTCAGGGGAGGAGGCATTTTAGGAGAGAGGCTGTGAGATTTTATTACAGCAGGTGATAATTAAAGAAATGTCTCCTCACACACTTTGATTACCTGAAGAAGTTTCACCCAATATCTCCAGTTCCCACAAAAGGAGGCTTCAGTGGCAGAATTTGATGTGAAATTTGGTGAGAAAAGAAGCATCAGCATCTTACTTTTCCTTAAAACAGAACTGCTAATCCACACAAATTCTTTGGGGGATCACCTGGACTACTGTGAGTGACAGGAAAATGTCACTCCTCTTTAGGGGGGCACACTTGGGAAGCCCAGCTCTGGTTCATTTTAAGTTCAGCACTATCCAGAGTTTCTTCAGCACTGCAGACATTCTGTGAGTGATGGAGCAGATCCAGCTGGGTAATTTTAAGTCCTTTCCCTACATCACCTCTGAAAAGTGCCTGTCACTCAAACACTTGTAACAGACTTCTGAGAGGTAGCTCCCAAAAGAAAAAATAGTTAAATAGCAGCCCACACACTCTACTTGTTTCTTTTCTTTCTCATCTGGAGAGACAACAGTTCTTTTGTATTGCCAGTGGAGGTGCTTCATAAATCTGCATGATTTTTTACCAAAAATTCATTCCTAGCAAAAAAAGCAAGAGAAGAACACAAGCAGCTTTAATTTTTTACTACTTACTGTAACTATCTTTGTGGTGCTGGGAAGTACAGGTCAGTGCAAGGCAATAATAATGACAGAAAATCTCGTCTTTAGGTTAAAAAAAATGGTTATTCCTCAGAGGTTATAGAGCCTTGAAGAAGAATTTGTCCTGGGAAGCTCAAGTGTTGGATAATGTGATGTGGATCAGTCTTTAAACCCCACATCCACCCTTGGAAGTGCTGAGCAATGCCACTGCTAAAAGAAGTTAAAACTTCAGACCCAGTAAAAAACACAAATTGTGTTAATTTGATTTTGTTTTGTGTTAACTGATCCTCTTTCTAATTTTGTCGTGTTGTAATTTGTGATTAAAAACTTCCAAACATGTCTCTCCTGGGTTATCTTAATGTGAAACAGAGGATGTTGTTTCTGTCGTTCTTCTTGGCTTATTTTGAATCTAAAGAACTGGCTTGATACTTGAAATATTATTTGAATTCTTTCCCTTTTTTAAAAAAAAGTTTAATTTTATTGTCTTTCTTGACTTAATTTTTGAGCTGCGCTAATTTAGCTATGGAGGAGTAAATCACTGTTTCATGAAATTAGATGTTAAGTGTCATCTCAAGGTGGAATGCTCTTCCTCAAAAAAGAGAAGGAATTAGGGAAACTGATGGGATTTTGCAAATTTGGCTGCTAATTTGAATAACTGAATATGCATTTGGAAAACTAATCACTACTTTTAGATACCTAGTTTGAATCTTTTGATAGGAGGTTTTAAAAAACACCTTGAAAATGTTTGCTTATTTAGAGGTGCATGTCTCAGAGAAAGCATTTCCCTGTTGGAGACAGGTATTGTCTACAGAAATCTCTTGTGGTGACATGTGTGACAGCTTAGATGATCTCTCTTCCATTGCTCTGAGTCCAAAATCACTTCTAGCTACTTTTGGTATGGAAAAGCAAACTCTGCTGAGGATCAAAATTTGCAAATGGTTCTTTGTTTGCAGCGCTGCCCTGCTGAACAGCTTTGCTGTGCCAGGAGAGCAGAAATGCAGAGCAGAGTGAAATCGCTTCCAGGGCCTGCAATAGTGACCAGGGACAGGGCCCAGGGAAGGCTGGAGAGGTTTGGGTTGGATATTAGGAAAAGATTCTTCCCCAGAGGTGCTGGCACTGCCCAGGGAATGGGCACGGCCCCCAGGCTGCCAGAGCTGCAGGAACAACAGTGCCAGGGATGTCCAGGGTGGGATTGTTGGGATGTCTGTGCAGGTCCAGGGGTTGGACTGATGATCCTGTGGGTCCCTTCCAGCTCAGGATGTTCTGGGATTCTGTGCACAAAGGATGAGACTGCTGAGTGCCCAGCCAGAAAAGGAAACCCAGTCCCAGCATTGCAAGTTGTGTCCCCTTGGATGTCCCTGTCCATCCAGCCCAGGCCTGGCACAGATCCCACCTCAGCCCCCTGGATGGATCCTGGTTTTTGACACATCCAGCCCCTGTGGCCCTGCTGGGAGCTGCTGTTGATGGACAAGAGGGAATTTATTTGTAGTGTTCAGCCAAAGAGTGGCAAGAGCCCAGTGGGTGCCCAGCCCACTGCAGGGCCTTCCCCAGTTTCCCACCAGGAGCTGCCCTGCCCCTGAGCCCTTCGCTGGCTCCGACAAGGGGCTTTGCTTTTGGCAGCTAGGAAGGATGCAAAGTACACACAGTGTTTACAAAGTGCCTCAGTACTACTTTGACTAATTTTTACTGGAGAGTTAGTGGTTGTTTCAAAGCTGGATTAGTCACTTCTACCACAATTACAATCTCTTGAAATCTGCTGCAGCATTTTGAATTGGCTGCAGGCCTAATGGTCAGAAAACGGCTCCATTCAACCTTAAGACAAAACTTGATTAGTAGGTCTTGTAGCTTTATTTATCTTGTAGCTTTTTCCTGATTTCTAAGTGAAAGATGAATAAAGATGGAGTGCACAGAAACCTGTGGCACCATGAGCTGCCTGTGTGTGGCAAAGTGCAAGTGAAGAACAGAGCAGTGCTCCCAGGCTGGAGCTCCCAGAGATGATCCCCCACAGACACCCAAATTCCTGCTGGAATTCCATCCACAGCATCCCATGGGTGCACACCGAGTGGAACCACAACCCCCTTGAGAAGCGAGACCAAACAGACAATCCAGGCTTGAGCAGCCCTGCACAAAAACTCCTTTTTTTGCCCTGGTTCTGTTCCGGAGGTGTGCTGCAGATGGAATGCCTTAGCCAAGGGGCAGAGCCCGGGGCAGCAGCGTGCAGCAGCTTGTGTGTGACACTCCTGGGCACGCTGGCACTGCTGGCAGGCAGCGTGTTCCGCGCTCTGTGTGGGAGGAAACACCAGGCACCTTGGATTGCATCATCCCCTGGCTTTTTTTTTTTTTTTTTCCCTCCCCTTTCTTTCTTTTTTGTCTTCCAGATGGTAAAACAAAGGCTGTAGTGAAACCCGTTTTCTCCCAGGAAGAGGTGGGAGGGAATTTTTATATGAGCAAGAAACTTTGCCTGGAGTCGAAATCTGGGGCCTGGACTAATGAAGTACCTGTAATTCATATTGTACTAAATATTGCTGAAACCAGGCATGTACTAATCATGAACCGTGCCAAACTATGCATAATTACTATGCTTTCTCTGTAGCAGTAATTAATTTGCGTTAGCAACTTTGGTTAATCTTTCTAATCTAGAAGTAAAATGCTTCTCAGACATGAAAGGCTCTCCAAGCGCTCAAGGTTGTTGCAGCCTCGTGGAGGGTGTTTCAATCCAGTGGGGGCAGGAAGGGGACAAAGCTTAAAAAAAAAATCAAAGTCTAGCTGATATTTATGAACTAATAACCAATAAAAAGAGTTACAGCATTCTGTTTGGCCACATAATTAATCAGCTAAGCTACAGGCTTCTGTCCACAGTGCCTTCCTCCTGCAAGAAAAGAGAATTGTCAGTCAGAGAGCTTCTCTGAAGGCTGCTCCAGAGATGAGGGGCTGAGATTCCATCTCATGGAGGGCAGTGAGTCAACATCTCTATCGCTGCAAACTCACCCAGAAATTCATTTTGGTCTTAACCTCAGAGCTTGTTCTAGGCAGGGTTGTTCAGCTCTGGTCCCAGCTGTTCTGTCAGTCCCACAAGGACCAGCTGTGCTTCTGGGGGGACCTGGAGCTGCCCCCTTTGCAGGAGAAGTGTGTGCTGAGCTCATTGCCCGAGCCTGCTGACTGCCAGAGCCACCAGGTGTGAGCCCAGCCCTGACTCCTCTGCACATTTGAAAGTTTCCACACTCACTGCCAGCCTCCCCAGCCTGCACCCAGAGGAGCCCGGGACTGCTGAAAGGGTTTGTTCATCTCAAGGTGCTCATGAGTTACCCAGCACAGGCTCCCACAGGAGCTAACATTTCTGAGGCAAGCAGAGGTGTCTCACAAACCCACTACAAATCCAAGTGGGTTTCTATGTGACCATGGTGTTGCTCTTTCTGTCCCTCAGCCACGTTAATATTATTCAGTTTGTTTTTTTTTTCTTGTTTCCTAGCAAGGATTGCATGTAATTCATGACAAGAGATTCAGAATGACATGAAAATCAGTTGGAAATGGATAGTTTAGAGATTACTAACAAGCTACTTCATTTTGATTTGGATTACTTCCGTTAAAATCTTCTGCTACTGCCTCAAAGTCTGGGATCAATTCTGTTTGCACGAGTCCGAAAAAAAGCTTTTAAAACAAAAAACTCAGTAGAAAATGTAAATGTAATTCCTACAATTTATAGGGTTTTTTTTTTATAATGCTGATTCAACAAAGGAATTAATTGTGATAGTTTATTTTCTTGCAGCTGTAGTTTGTGTCCAAATATTTTATAATCATAAAGCTACCCTCTTGATATCAGTCAAAATAGACCATATATATTGATGTCTAAACAAGCTTTGTAGAAGACATTTTTTTAAATCAGGCATGGGACTTTACATTTATTAGAAGGTGTTCACAAAAATAAGGGTAACATCATGCATATTCTTTGCAACTAAACCCAGTTATGGTTACAGTTTGGAAACAAATCCTTTAAATAGACATATGGAGATACAGTAGTACATATACACTCTATTTATGACATTTAGTGTACTGATAACTCCCAGCAATACATCAGAAGTCCACAACCAGCTGATGGAAGGATTGGATAAGGAGGAAGAAACTGCTTCAATTTCTCACATTATTTATGTGGCTCTACAAGAATGTCAGTGTGAACGGCCTCCTGAATCCAGGAGGCAAGAACAAGTCAAGACTATACTTCTGCAGTACAAAACATTTACACACGAAATACACATGCATTGCAGTGCATTGGAAACGGGCAAAGAGAGGAGAAACCCATTCCCCAATGCTTTATTAACACAATTCTACAAAGGAGTCTCAAATAGGATTATATACTTCAGTCACAGTAAGGCCACAAAATTACAATGGATACAGACCTTGGGGTCAGACATTCTGTGGGAGCAATGGAACCCTTCCTTCTTTCCGGAGCTTTTCACGTGTTCCTGTGTGGCATCTCCCTCACCAAAGTCCTGCTGCTATCGATTTGTGTTTCTGTAGGTTTAACATATTGCTTGGTACAACAGTGAGCACAGTAGAGAAGGGTGCTGGCACAGGGAGAACAAAACCTATGGGACATTCACGGCGGTGTCGGACTCTACAAGAAGCTGCTAATCAGAAAACAGACTGGCAAAGGATTTCCTCAGGTTCCGGATGGTCTCAGCTTTGGCCTCGTCTTCGTTCACGGATGATCTGAAGAAGGAGGACTCTGTGAAGCTGAAGGCGTTGGTCAAGGACTGCGACTTGCTGCAAGACACAAACACAACAGGTTCTGCATGGTCACACTGTCCCCCAGCCTTCACCCCCAGCACCTGGACCAGAAGAGGGGAAATTGTCCCTGAGACTGGACAAAAATGGGTTTTCACCCATTCACAAAAATGGCTTTCACCCATTTTTGTTACGTCCCACACAGCTGTGTACCCCTGACTTGAGAGTAAGGCTTGAGGATAACATTTCTTTCAAGGAACACACCGGTGTTTTCTTTGCTTTCTACAGATCTGAACTGGATGATGTAAATTAGAGCCTTGAGGAAAATGTGGGCCTGGCTACTGAATCCAAATCACAGCCCAACAGGACTGATAAATAATTGTGTTTTGGTTGTGCACAGAGAAAAATCAGGTATTTTACAAGAGTTTGAATCCTAAACTGTAATGTGCTTTCCCACTGTCTAGATGTATTGAACATTAGAGCCTTAATAGAGGCTTAAAGGCATGTTATATCTTTGAAAAAACACCTCAAATCAGATATATTTTTTCTTTTCTATAGGTAGTGCCTGGCAATACTACTCCATTCTTAGTGCTATCATGTAACTCCTGTATAAGCTCCCATCAGCAAGAAAAACATTACAATGAAAACAAGAAGAAAACCAGCTAAAGTTTAAAAATTTAACTCATGACTTGTCAGATAAAATAACATCTAAAAATAGGTTTGAATTTAAATAGAACATTGAGTTATCAGCTTTTTAAAAAGACATCACTACATTCGTAAAACGAGTTCCCTGATTTCATTTTTATCTCAGTACAATGGATTTCAGTTTTGGCTCTAGTAAAACTGAAGCATTTTCCTTGTTCAGATTATCTCAGACTCCTCATGGTTTGCAGCTTCTCTCCTTCTAAACTAATAATGTACAGCAAACAGTGCTGCAGGCGTTTTAGGTTTTTCATAAATTATAGTTGTGCTAATGAGAATAGACTGATAAATGTTTGTTTGTACTCACTGAAAGAGGGAGGGTGGGAAGCAGCACTTGACTTGATTAGTAACACAATAAGTAGCCTAATTAAATATTTATTCACAGATTAATAACATGTACATACAGGTTAGGCAACAGCATGTGGGTGAATACAAAGCACACACATGCAAATAGAGCTAATCCTACAGGCAGGAGATCTGAGCCTTGGTGTGGACCTAACACTGCTTCTGAAAGTTAGAAAGCTGCTCTTATTATGGCTTGCATCTTAAAAACTTTAATTTCTCCTTTATTATTTTATTTTAAAGAGGGACTCTTCCATTTGAAGAAGAGGAAAACTATCTATATGAGAACAAAAAGCTTAAAGGAGAAAGCTGGGAAGCAGCATGTGACAGAGCCCTCCTGTAACTGTTATAGTTGCTTTTCTTCAATGTCAGAAATTAGGTTTCAAACTATAAACTGGTTTCCATCTTGCTTTAAAAAATCCACCTCTCTATTCTGTCATCTGAAATGATGGCGGAATCCATTTGAGGTTTATGATCATAAAACAGAATAAGTAAATACATTGTCCCAGGGAGGCAAGGGAAATACTGTCTTCTTTGCACAATATTGTCATCCAGCATATCTTTGGCACTGAGCTGGTCTCAGGGAGGACCCGGGGTTGTTTCCCACTGGTGTTAGCTCAGGAGTGGGTGGAACAAGGGGATCTGTGTTCCTGGGAGGAAACAAAGACTCCATGCAGGTCTTTGTACATACCAGACTGAGGAGATGTGTCTGAGATTCTCCTGGCAATGGCTGTGTCAGGGCTGCTGTGCTGGAAAACTGCAAAGCTCTGCTGGTGCTTCCCTGAGGTTTCTGTTGGCTGGGTTTGAGCTCTGAGGGGGGATTTTTCCATGTTCCTTACTGGGGGCAGGTAAATCAGTAAGGAACCTTCCAGAAGTGGGACAAGCATTTTGTTTTTTGGTTTTTTTTTTGTGGTTTTTTTTTTTTTTTTTTTTTTTTTTATTTGTTTTGTTTTGTGCAGCCTTCTCTGGGCACTCTCTGGGCTTGAGCACTCAGGCAGTGCCACTGCACAAGCAAGGGCAGCAGAAAGAACCAATCCGGCAGCCACTGTCCAACATGATCCAGCCTGGATTGTGCCTTTGGATAAGGAATCTGTTGTCTCAGTGACTGCAAGGTTAAAAGTTGAACCAGATAAGACTTCCTCTTGGAGGGCAGGCTGACAGCACACCCAGCCCGTGAGTCAGTGGCACCAAAAGGAGGAAACAAACACAAGAAAGATGATGGTTTCTCAGACCTGGCTGGGGCAGAAATTGCACAACGGGCAGATGAAATTTTCTGTGGCGCTCATGATAGAACCAATGCTAGCAGCTTGCTTTACTCCATTGCCAGAGATTAAGCTTTCTGAGCTATTGAACCTCATTCTAAACTTGGGACTAGAACATATGCTAGCAGCTTGCTTTACTGCATTACCAGGGACTACACTTTTCGAGCTATTTAACCTCGTTTTAAGCTTGGGAACAACACATTCATTTTTCCCCTGGCTGTCAGAGCAACCCCCAAATCCCAGTTAGACAAAAGCTGTGCCGCGAGGAGAGAAGAAGAACGGATAAAGCGACTCTTACTTAAGCTGCGGATGCGACTGAGGCTTCTGCTGTGGCGCAGGCTGAGGCTCTGGCTGGGGCTGTGGCTGTGGCTCTGCTTCCTTTGATAACCTGGAGCTGGGAGGACCTTGGGCCTGGGGCCGAGGCTGCTGGGTGGTGGGTCCGGGCGGGCGCTGGGGCTGCGAGGCTGCGGCCTTTGCTGCCTGCCCCGCGGGGAACACGCGCTGGGGCTGCAATGGCTCCTGGCTTTGGGATTGCATTCCTTGGGGTTGCACTGGGCCCCCTAGGTTCAGTACAAGAAAAACTTCATCATGTTATAGTGGCAAAGAGGCCTTATTTAGACTTCATATCCAACACTTTAAAATCATCCTCTCCAATGTGATTAACTCTACTTTCGAGGCAAAAGTCTACCGGCACGTGCTCGCATGGAGGCAATAGCACTGTTCACACTCATTAGGAACTTGCTTGGAGCCCCCCATGAATCAGCTTTAAAACTGCTAAATAGCACCCAGTTCATCCCAGGTACTGACTTCAAACCAAAGCAATGGAGTTACACCCAGAACAGTTTTGGCCCAAGTCAAGGAGAGGCTGGGAGGTAAATGAACACAGTAGTAATAGCTAATTCAGCAAGACATTCACTATTTTCTGTGTAGTTATTGCAGATATTTTCTTCCTCCAAAGTCTTAAAATCATTTCTGTAACACTCCTCTTAGATTCACTCTTACAGCAGTAAAACAATCTCATTTTCTGGCTGGTTGAAAGTATTTTCATAACTTACTTAACCCCTTAGTGAGATATGTCAAGAACGTTACAAAAAACACAAGAAAGTCACTACAAATTCTTTACCAGGAAGTCACTTCACTGGCAAATTACTACGTGAAGTAGGAAACCACAACGTGCAGGAGGGACTCAGGCTGTGCCACCCATGGCTCAAAGATGCTACAGTATCATCCAGTGGGGTTTTCTCTGCTTTCTGACTGAAATAATGCAGTATCAGACATCAGGGCTTGCTGCTTTTATCTCAGCTCCCAGGTCTGACTGGGGTTTTCTGGACTGATGTTGTTGTAACTGAATTTTAACCCTCGTGTATGAAAATGCACTCAGGACATCTGACCTTGGGCAGAAAGGATGGGATGACATTCTGAGTATTTATTTGTATAATGCTTCACTCTGGATAAGAGCTGTTGTAAATATCACAGAACACAACTGAGCTAGACCTTCTGCATATCTGAGAAGTTTTAGTCTTGCAGAGATATTTAGTGCAAGTAAAACACTTAATCTGCTCAAGTCTCTAAAAGTAAACCTCATATCTAGATGTACTGCTGCAATACATTTTTGTTTTGTTTTGTTTTTAAATTTCTTTTATAGTTAACTTTCCCCTTACTACATGAATTCCAGTGTGTGTGTGTGAGGACAGCACGTGCTAATGCCTCAGTGAGTTTTAACACAATTGTAGCAGTGTGTTGTGGTGTAGAAAGATAAATAGCACGTACTGAATGTTGAGGAATGTGCCTTCATTGTTTATTAATTTGAACCACTTTTGTAGGAAATATTTGAAGGTGATAACATGGTCTTGCAACATCTTAATAAGGAGCCTTTTCTTATTAGTCTCCTTTCACTCAATATTGAAAACCAGAAAGGTTTCTTTCCCCCACTTGTACGTACAGGCTTGAATGCCAGAAACTTTACACTGAAGACAGATATAACTTTCTTTTATTGCACATTAAGCTGTACAAGAGATTTCACATAAAAGATATACTGCTGTCACATTTCCAGCATTTGCTCACTTTCTTGCAGCTGGGTTGTACAAAAGGCAACAATCATGAAAGAAACTTTTACCAAAAATAACTCAACAGAACTGAACATTAAGCCTACACTGTAAAACATCTGTTCCCTGTTACCCACAATATTGCACCTAAGCATGCTGACATGCAGAGAGACATCTTGGCTTGTTTCTTGGCTGTGGGATGTAGGAATTGTGTGTGCCCCTGCGAATCCTTCCCAGGGAACAGGCTGGAATCCTGTCTGAGACACCCAGGTCGTCCACACACACACACACAACGCACAAATGTCGTGTGAGAAGCACTTGTGAATACTTGCACTACTCCATGCAAAAAATACCAACTGCTTGAAAGGAAAATCGCTCATCAGATTCAGCTCTCCACCCCAGGGCAGTATGGTTTGTTCTCTTTTAGGGTGTCTGGAGGAAAGGATTTGTGAACCTGATTTCTAGGTGGAATTTCCTTGACATAGAGCAAAATAGCCAATGCCACCTTTGGAATGATCACTGACCCAGACAAATGCTGATCACTAAAGCAAAATATTAATGTAATTTACTGATAGGTAGTAAACAGTAGCACTTACCACAAACATTTAAATAGCTAATAATGCATACCTTAATTCTCATCTCACCAGCCAGCTCGTACAAATAAAAGAAACACTAAGAATGATGAGACTCACTGATAACTTTTTCCAGTGTTTGTAGGGAAAACAGACATAGAACATCAGGCTGTTTTCCCTTTAAACATAATTGTTTGCACTAAACTAATGGCCACTACTCATCTTTGTACATATTCAAGATGAAAATTATAGTTTTGTGGCTCGCTTGCAACTCAGCTTTCTGGTATGCCAGCAGTGTGCAGCTTGTGATTCTAGGCTAGATTTCTCACAACAGATGAACTGCCTGCCTGTGGAGCTCTCATAGCATTGTTTATGTAAAAATCACAAAGAATTTACCTACAGAAAATCTAGCAGTTGTCAGGCACCTCAAGTCCTTTTGCATGTTTGATGTCAAGCAGTTCTCAGAAACTCTATTTCTGTGGACAATATTGGGACTGGATTTTCTTTACAGCTCTCTGGAAACTTGTAGGTGTAAAATAGGAGACCTGAGTTGGTAAAGAAAACCACTGACATTCTTTGCCTTGCATTTTCTAACCCAGGATCCTCAGCTGGTTAAAGGTACCTTGGTCTGCTATCCCCTCACTTCTCAGTATTTGCAATGAAATGAGCTCTTACAGGAAGTTTAACAGTCCTTGAGGTACTCCTCACCAAATAACCTGGGATTTAAATCTTAGGTAAGTATAAGAGTTTTTGAAAGTATTTGCATTAGTTTTCATTAAAAATCTCCATAGAGTACTAATTCAGAATGACAACAAAAGGTACTACTTAATTGAAACAGGATACATTAAATACTCACACTTTCACTGAGATATTGCACATAGGTGGCCCATTTACATAGCTTTGTAGCTAATAATTTAATGCAGAATTACTAAAAATATGAATACCAGTATGTAAAATAGAAGATATTTTAAATATTCCTTGGGAAGAACTGTATTTTATGGAGTCACCAAAATAGCAGACTTCCACTCGCATATAAGTAAAACTCAAAGGTTAATAAACTTTATAAAATTATAAATAAAAAGCCTCACTAGCAAATCCTAATCTAGACTTTAAAAATATATCTGGATCACCTACCTATTGGTCATGCACACGCACAGAAAAATAAAGGCTATGAGTACAGTGTGCACACACTCACAGAGTAAGCAAAGGGACGGGGGTTGCACCTCGGGGGATTGTACTGAACAATATCAAATACTCCAGAAATACTGTCTAACCATCCAGGCTGTACATGGCACTGGGCTCTAGAGAGGCACATTCTTTGTACACTGTTGACAGCAGCCCTGCAATCACAAGTTTACAGAGGAAGGTTGGAAAGCATTACACGCACAGACAGGAACAAGGAAACAACCAGACGGGAGAGTTGACACTGCATAGAAAAAACACAGTCCAGGTCAGCACTGAAACAATGGCAAACTCAACAAAACTGGGCTGCTTGCATTAAGATTGTTTGTTTCTTTGCTTTCAATTTGTTTTTGTTTGTTTGGGTATTTTTTTTTTCCACTTTTCATTTTTGCTTTAACCCTTGCTTTTGGTCTCAGTTATCTAAGTAGCCTGGACTTGTTTTGGTCCTACTGCAACGCCATTACAGTCGAGAATGTACTGTAAACAACCTTGAGGTGGTGGTCGCTGAGGTGGGATTTTGTTTGGCTCTGGCTCCTTTAGTGATCCACTCTGGAAAATACATTTGAAAACAGAAGAGAAAAGAAAAATAAAATTAGAGTAGCTCGGTTCCAATTTTCCCTTAATTTGTCTTTATTTTCATTAGAAAACTCTTTATTGGTGGGGCTGAACATATACTTAAATTTATTCCAGATACCGTTTTTTAATTTAGTTGCTGCCTGAAATGATATATGAATCCTGGGCTAGTCCAAGGCTGAGCTCTTATAAAAACTCTTTTCCCTTTGCAGCATGTGATCAGGATGCAGGGAGTGCCTTCCCAACCTTACCTCCATCTGGGGAAGGACTTTATCCTCAGTTCCCAGCAACAGGAACCATTTTTTTGTATTTCAATGCATCTGCTCTCTCTTTTATTTTTTTTTAATTTTTTTTTTTTTTGGACAGACTAAATAGGAAATGGATTTCAACAGATACCTTTGTGTAATTTAAGAAATAATTTATTTTTAATTATGTTCACTTGTATTCAGAAGCATTTGCACAGCAGGAGTTTTGCCAGTGATAGCTTCGCTTTGATTTGCTGGCAGTAAGTGGGGAGGAAGGTGGGCTGCTCCAGCTTCACTGTTTTGCTAAGCAAAATGAAAGAAGAAAGCAAAAACCACAGACAAATAATAAAAATAATTGTAATGACTTCATGCTTCTCCATCTGACATGTTATTAGAAACACATGTAATACTTCACTTTTCAAAACAGGAGGTTGATTTGGCAGCATGCTTTTCACATGGATACTTGTGAAAGGAAAAGATGGGCCTGAACCAAAACCTTGGAGCAGAACACCCCCTGGGAACAGGAGTATTTGAATCCAAACTTTGTCTTAGGTCCATCTCTAACATTTTGAAATGTGAAAGACGTTAAATCATTGTAATTAATAGCTTGGGATTTTTTTTAAGGATCCAGAAATCAAATTGCCATCTGTCAAGAGGAAAAAGCTGCAGAATTTATTAAAGAGCAAATGCAAAATCAATTAAATGTGTTTCTTGCAGAGCTTACTGGGTTTTTTCTGATAGACTTGTATTTGATCACACTCCTAGTACTTTATTTACAATATAAATCTTGCTCCTAGTGCTCTGAATTCCTGCCCAGCAATGCAGCTGCTGCATTCTAAATGGCACAACTCTCCAGTGCATGCACTGCTGCAAGTTGCTGTGTCTGCTTTAGCTGCATACATAGAAGGAAACAGGCCAGCTCCAAAACTCTCATTATTCAGCATTACCAACCTGCAGGAGCCCAAAGGAGGAGTAAAAACGATCCACACAAACTGTGCTCCTCCATTTACCTGACCCCGTTACACAGTGCCTGCTGAGCATCACTAAAGGAGTGAGGATACGCAGAAAATAAGAAACTTGTGAGGAAATACAAAGCCACCAGAAAATGTCACAATGCTTTAGTGTGGGTTGGAGCCCTCTCTTTTTGTTTCCCTCCCTGCTGAGATGTTCAGAGCGTGGTGCAGGAGCTGCTGGGCTGCCCTGGCTGGTTGGTGTGTCCATGCTGGGTGCTGTGCTCCCTGCAGCTCCTGCGCTGGCACCAGCAGCTCCCTGGGGAGCAGGGCAGTGCATGCAGCTGCTGCATGGGGAGCAGGGCAGTGCATGCAGCTGCTGCATGGGGAGCAGAGCAGCTCTCCCACAGTGGGGAGCTGAAATGCAGCCCTGGAGGAGCAGCTCCTGCCCTGCCCCAGGGCTGGCACGCTCCTGGCACCCCTGGCTCTGCTGCCAGGGCACCACGGGGACGTGCACGGAGCTCAGCAGGGAAACCTCCAGGGCTGGGGCTTCCAAACTCCAGCAGTTCCTTTCTGCAGTCCCAAACAGGCAACGTGACTTTGTTAGAAAGCACACAGCAGATTTTATAATTGTGATTATCATGATTAGCACGTGATGGGCTCCCTACCCTTCCCAAGAGCCACAGCCCAGCCTGGGGCTCTCTGCAGTGGCACAGGGTGGCCAGGGAGGATGAGTGTTATCCTTTTTCCACTAAAACAAAAGGCCAGGTAGGTAAAACTGGGGTTTGATTTTAGAAACACAGGCTGGCAGTTTAAATTCACTTTAATGTTGGACCAACACTGCAGGGCCTCTGTCTGCCCCGTGGCCCAAGGCTGGAGCAAATCTGCCATTTGTTCTGGCACTGAGATGTCTCAGGTTTTATCACACAACTGCACCACCAGCCCTTACACAATCTGCATATCTCTCATCTCCCAAAGAAATGATTTTATCCCAAATGAAGCTCTCAATAAACATTATAGGAGCTGCCTAATCCTTCCCTCAGCTCTCCTGAGAGTTGGGAGCCTTGTGCATTTTCTGTAGAAGGCGTATTTCCCCCTCCCCAGTCACTGACTGCAGCTGTCCTGATTTTACCACCCACACATCCTTTTTTTAAATTTTTTTTTTTTTTCACCAGATATCACCTGGTGCTTCCAGGAACCTCACCCACACTCCAGGCCAATCACATGGGTATATTACTTTGGCTAATTAGCCAACCCACCCAGGCTGACCCAAAATGTCTAATTAGCATTACATTCCTAACTGAGAAATCTTACTCATGGTTTTTCAATGGTCTGTAGTATCCCAGCTCCTTTCAAGAGCCTTTCTTTCAGACACTCAGAAACCTTGATACTTGATATTACAGGCAGGCTTTGAACCAGCCTTATTTGCTGCTCTGAGCCAAGACCTTTAATAAAATCCAGGCTCCTTCTAAAACCCCAGTTGCTGGCAAATGAGCTGCAAACTGTTCTTCTCACCTCTGCAAGGTGGTGCCAGAGCAGATGTGGGAGCTCCTCTCTGAGCAGAGGTGCTGGACCAGACCTGTCCTGCACATGGACTCACCCCTCGTGCTGATTTTCTGTTTTTCCTTGCTGCCCAGCCTACAAGTTCACCCCCTTACCACCTTCTTATAGCACAAACAAGTTTTCCTCTGCTGCAGCCCTGATCTGCAGCCATGCTGGGTTCAAACACTGCAGGAATCAAGGGTTAAATGCAGGATTTTATCATTGAAAATGGCCCTGCACGGGTCCTCATTTGGATGCTCAGGGCTAAAGAGCAGAATCAGCGGTGCAGGAGTGTGTTTGGGATGGTTTGGGGCAGAATCAGTGGTACACTAGTGTGCCTGGGATGGTTTAGGATTACCTGAGTGAGGTGTGGTGGCTGATGGCAGGAGGAGCCCCTTTGGTTTTCATTTTGTGCAACAAAATTTTTACATCCCACCCAAATTCCTAAGGAGAAGGGGTTGCTGGTGTTACAGGAACATTCTGTAGGGCTGCCTAAAGGAGCTCTCCTGCTCACAGGGGTTTGCTGTTTGTATAACTGCCCCCAAAAAATACAGCTTCACTTGGGGAAGCCTCCAAGGCACATGAGTGCTGCAAATCAGCTCTGGGTAGAACAAGTGAGGATTTGGCTGCATAATGACCTTTAGGAATATTGGCTAATTACAGCCAGAGCACAATCCCTACACTTATTAGAATATAAATGTCTCTAGATGTCCCTGTGGCACTTCCTTCCTTTCCACACTTACCTGAAACTGTCTCCTTAGAGTTGAACTGGCAGAAAAAGCTGTTTATTCTTCTAATAAGTTACATTAGAATTTGATCAGGGCATTACTTCTTTTTCTACCTTTACAAAAATGCAGATTGGATTCACAGACACTTAAATTTTGCACAGTCTGAAGAATGTTGAAATGGGTGGGAGCAAAAGCAGCAACTTGGCAGGGAAATAGCCCTTGGGCAAAAGAGATGCTAAACAGAGTCCCAGCAAAAATTGATTTTGATTTGGCTGAGGTTGAAGACTTTGTGAACTGTAGCTGGAGCACGTAGAGTTGTTTTTGGGTCTCGTTTGGTTTTCTTTGTAATGCAAGGACAGGAGCTTTTCATAGGTATTTGAGGGGAAAGCCATGTTTTTCAGGTCAAGGAGAGGGATCAATTGAAAGCTGGCAAAATATGAGCTGAGTTAGAGCTCATAAAGGAACAGGAATAAATAGTAAAACACTTAAGTAACAGGAGAACTAAGAAAAAATGGGATTGCTGAGGAGAGAGCTCATTGAGAGAGTTTACGTGGAGAGTAAATAGTAAATGGGTGTTTGAAGTGTTATAGATTGTGATAAACACAGGAGGAAGGGCAAGATGGCAGGTGGGATAAAAGGTAAAAATGAGATGCAGGTAAAAATGAAACATTCTTCATCTCAGAAATGAAAACCAGCTGACTCATGAAGTACAGAATTCCATAGCAGGTCTCTCTAAAAATTGGGAATGGCCAAGTTACACTGGAGGAGGTAAAGCACTAATACTGCATTGAGGGTAAGGAAGTTGCTGCTGAGGAAAGAAGCAGTTCTTGAATAAAAAATACTGGGAAGGACATTAGTGGGATGCAGAACTCCAGTAGATTATTAATTAATTAAGTTGGCACAAAAAAAGTAGGTGTGTGCTACTAAAACCTGTAGATCATACAGGACTGGAAGACTGTGGGGCCAAAATATCCTAAAGAAGGAATGAAATTGATCAGTGGAGTTTAAAAAAAATATATCAATATAATTATATTATTATAAAATGTAAAATATAATGTAATTTTAATTATAAAATTATTTCTTATATAATATGAAATAAATCTGTCACAAAGGCAGAGCTCACTCACTAACTGAAATCTAATGGGAATGATTTGTGCAGTGAAAAGCCCAGAATCTCATCACAACTCAGTGCAGCTTTTGGAAGAACCCATCTGCTTAGCTCAGTAAAATAAAGGGGTTTTATGAACAGAAACTGGGGGCAGAAAACAAGCCAAAGGCCAATGTGAACCAAGATGAAATGCATATAAATTCATAAATAAACTGAATAAAACTGGGCTGCAAATAAGCACATGCTGTGTAATTTAGCAAAGCAGTGAAATCCTGAAGTGGAGCATCCAAACCCACAAAAGTTCTCAGTGACTTGTGTCCTCCTGCTTTATCCCTGCAGCCTGCAGCGAGTGGGGCTGGGCTTTTCCTGCCTCAGCCCTTGCCCTGCTGCAGTGCCCTGGCCC